TGGAGTTGCTGGTCCCAAGTGGGGTAACTAACTGAGGACTACCTCCTGTCTCATTACATTTGTCTATAAAATACACAGGCAGCAAATTCTCACCAAAATGGCATTTCTCCTTCTTCCCTTTAATAAGTGAAATACTTCCTTACCTTTGAATTGTTCAATAGAACAAGCGTAACGTTTTAAGATCTAATAGGGTAATTAAAAAGAGTTTTGCTGTCAATCCATTTCTTAAGGCATTGGATGCAAAATCAGCCCTAATTAAATGGAAGCCATTTCATCCAGCAAAACGGGATTGGTGAAAAGAACTCTTAGTGGCTCTTCTTAGCAATCCATCCTTTGAACTCAAGTGTTGAGCATCTAAAGCTCCCTTTACTTAGACTGGTACCTCCTTCGCTAACTGTCCAAGGTCTTGGTGGACATTTCCCCCCCTGCTTTTCTGCCTGATCTCACTTCACCAGAAGTACCCAGGCCTTCTATATTCATATGCCCCACATGTAGACAAAGCCTCCCTCCTCTATAGCCTGTTGATTTTGCTCCTCTTTTTTTCTTGTGGCAGAAAATTTATATGGGGTTTCCATTCATTCTAGATGGTGGTGACAAAGATGCTAAAGATTTGGTACAGATGCGGTTTGAACAGAGACTCCGGGATGGTGTAGAAGATGGGTCTGTCCTGGGTCAACGAATTGGGAACTTTGAAAAATATACCAAGGTGAGAACTGAAGTGGGAATATATTATTTATCTAAAATAAAACAGAACAGATACTGAAAAGCCTTCATTCAATTGTTGAGGTAACAGTTTTGCTGCAGCTATTAACGAAATGTGTGGTTATAGCACAAGAGGCAAGGAGAATGATTGCTGTTGTGTGGTGCTAAAGCCCCTAATAAAGTTGATGCAGATAGTCCTCAACTTACAACCATTCATTTAGTGATGATTCAAAGTTACAATGGCAATGAAAAAAGTAACATATGACTGGGATTTCACACTTATGACCATCGCAGCATCCCCCATGGTCACACAATCAAAATTTGGCTACCTAGCAACTGGCGTTTGTTTATGACAGTTGCCCTGTCCCATGGTCATCTGATTATCATTTGTAGCCTTCCCAAGATGGCTTCCAACAAGCAAACTCAATGGGAAAAGCCAGGTTTGCTTAATGACCATATTGTTGACTTAATTGCAATGATTTGCTTAACAGCTGTGGCCAAAAAGGTCATAAAATGGGGCAAAATTGGCTTAACTGCCTTGCTTAGCAATGGAAATTTTGGGTTCAGTTGTGGTGGTAAAATTGAGAACTGCCTGTATGCTTCTGATAATGATTACACTGTTTCTTTAAAAACCTGATTCCTCTCTTTATTCTGGTGTCAGTGCTTTGTTGCTTTAGAACTGATTGTCTTTCTGTGCCAGGGCTTTGGCCGAAAAGTGATGGAAAGACAGGGCTGGACCGAAGGTCTTGGCTTGGGAAGCAGCAGCTCGGGAATGGCTGAAGCCTTAGACAATGAGGGCCGGAATCCCCGATGCAAAAGAGGCTTGGGGTAAGCGATGTGGGTCTCTTTCAAAATAAGTGCAACTAAGGGTTTCCACATAAAGATCCAGCTCTGCACGTGTGAATGGGCTGGTGGTCTCAGGTCTCTGGGAGTGTGCTGAAAATAACACATGAAACAGTCTGGCATTCTGGAGAAATCTTCTAGCACTTACAGTCTTGCTGTCTGAGTATGATGCAAAGTGCAGATCAAAATATCTGGGAGGTAGTTTTCTTGCCCTAAAGGCTGTTTATAAGAATAAACTGATGTAAGACTTCAGTTCCATGCTAACTTTAAAATAAGGGAAAGTTGCATTATATACACAATTAGTTTCACTGCAGCTTTCTCTACATTCTCATGCATTGGAACATCCTAAAAACGGAAGTATTTTTTTAACAAGGGATAGGAATAATAATATTCCCATGTGTTAGGGCAGGGGTCTTCAAACTTGGCCCTTTTATGACTTGTGGACTTCAATTCCCAGAATTCCTCAGCCGGCATGCCTGGCTGAGGAATTCTGGGAGTTGAAGTCCACAAGTCATAAAAGGACCAAGTTTGAAGACTCCTGTGTAGGGGAAAACTTTTTTAAATATAGAATAATTTCAGTAAATATTATAATTACAACAATGAAAGCTAATACAAACTAAAAGATAAATAAAAAGATGACCTACAAAACCCTGGATGCTTCTCCAATAGGATCCCAACAATGTGGAATAACTCACCTTATGATAACTAGACTGGCCAGCACATTGCAGGTTTTCTGGAAGATTGTTAATTCCAAAATGTTCTGCAGGACTTTTGATGGATGACTGTCCCTTTGGTTATAATTGTCCATGTGATTCAGATATATATTTGGTATGTGCTGTTAGGATCAAAGTCTTTATACTGTGAATGTTTTATTGTTGGCTTATTTTTCCTTTTGTGGATGTTTTAACTGTTGGCACCAAAGATGCTTTAATATTTGGAATTGCTACCGGTATTTCCATGGACCTTTTAATCACTCTTGTAGTGGTTGTAAATTGAATTTGTATGAGTTATTAAATGCAACATATAGAATATTTTTCGTTCCCAAAAATACCTAACTGAAACCTACAACAAATGTAATCCCTGTTTTTTCATATCAATTTCTGCAAATATTTACACACTAAACGTATATAAATGCTAATATGCAAAAACCTCTGCCAGATTTCAGAACAACGGCCCTATAGAATATTCATGAGGATCACAAAAGGATTGCATCAATTGTATTATTTTTTATTTGCTAGATTTGGGGGGGAAATTTCTCCAATGTACTTTTTACAATATTGTTCAGAGCAGAGCTGAAGGCAACTGATACTCTTTGCTTTGTCTCTAAAGACCAACTCATTCTCTGCTCTTCTTTAGGTATCATGGTGAGAAACTCCAGACTTTCATCAAACCCAAGAATCCACGTAGGGACAGCTACGGTCTCATTTCTACCATCTATGATGACCCTCATCCTGTGGACTCAGAAGATCAGCTTCTTCGGCGTCAGCTGCCAATCAGTATGAAGTACCGGCAAGAGGTGTCTTTCGTCCAAGCCAGGCACGGCATGCAGGAGAATTCCAGTTCTTCATGAAGGACTTGCCAAGAAGGAAGAACTTTCAGATTGTGTCAGCTTTTCCAATGGCTGATTTTTTTTCATATAATTTTATTACTGTACATTAGCAGACAAAAGAGGTATAACAAAGCCAGAGCAGGTTTTAATTATTTATATTAAAAGAAAAATACCCGATACTGCTTCTTGATACTTTACTATAACATTAATTAAAAGGTAATTGGTGATTCCACCTCTGCAGATCTACAGTTCACATAATTCTACTCTGTAATAAGTCTATATGAAATCTTGCATTTTCATTCTTGACTTAAGGTGTGTCCTGCATACGTTTTTTATGCAATGAAGGGTATTTGGCCTAGTATATGGTGTAATTGAAGAGCAATGATTATACTCTGACTAAAAGAGGAGTAAACTTGACCAACAAGATTGAACTCTAGTGTCAACTTTGCAACAAATTGAAAAGAAGCCATTTTCACTTCGTTTTCGGTTGACACAATTATACATTAACAACAATGTTAATGTAAAATTTTAAAAGACACAACAAAAAAGTAAAATGAATTGGATATAGGTGGTTTCTATGTTTTTACTTAGAACCACTGCTCTTATAGTCTGTCCCTTTAGCCCAGGGGTGGGCAGTTAATTTTCCCACATGGTCACATGAGAAACTGGGATGTTGTGGAGGACCAAACCAGTAGGGCTTTGAAGGTGCGTAGGCATGCACCTATGCACATACATAGATTGGGGAAAAAATGTTGCCTTCAAAATAAAACCAATACAATTGTATTGGATGCATGGCACATACTTATTTACATTTGATTTCTAATTTTCGATTGACCTCCCATGGGTGGGACAGGGACAAAGATGTGGCTGATGAGCCATAAAATGTCCAGGTCTTCTCTAGCCAAATAATTCAGTTTACATGAAGCGCCATTTCCAAAGACTGACTGGTTTACGGTTAATTACATAATACTAAAGCATTAAAAAAAACAGCAATCTAATCACAAACAAAACTGATGGGAAATGATTGCTATAATTGCAATATAATAATTGCTTAGCCCAGTGTTTTTTTCAATCTTGGTGGCTTTAAAATAGGTGGACTTCAACTCCCAGGATTCTCCAGCCAAGTGTTCCACCTATCTTAAAGTCACCAAGGTTGAGAAACACTGTTTTAACCATTATTGCCGTGGCAAACTAGCAGCAAAGCTCTTCTTTTTGTGACTTACAAATAGAATATCTTCAAGTTGTCACTGTTTTCATTATTGTATTCGTTCTAAAGGAGAATGTTGACATGAGAGGTCCCTGGTGCTCTCTGAACCTGGTTGTTTTCTTGCAGACGTTTCATTAGCCAAATAGGTAACACTAATTAGACTAGGTTAGCACTAGCGCTGATGATGTTACCTAGTTTGGGTAATGAAACGTCTACAAGAAAACAACCACGCTCAGAGAACCCCAAGGACCCCTGTATTCCTTCTTTCTGTTCATTGCTATTCCTCTTGGCCACCCCTAGAGGGAGCCTAGCGAATGAAAAAAAAAATGAAAGAACTACAGCCTCCATTCCTTGGCCATGTCTCAGCACTTCCCATTCTGCAGGTGGCGCTCGTCGTTCGCTAACAATGACTACGTTACGACACGCCTTCTCTTTCCAAGCCTGGTTAGACGCCACTTACCATAGAGACAGCCCGAGATAGAGCGCCAGCCTGCTAGTCCTCGGCCAATCCCAGCTTCCGCGGTTGTACCGTAGAAGTAGGAGAGTATAGAGAAACGCTCTTTCATGCGTGATCATCTCTCGGGGTAATGATCGAAAGCGGCCGGCAGAAGGAACCAATAGCGAAATCCCAGGTAAATCTTATGGGACTTTAGGATACGCGGATCCAAAACGGTCGTTTTGCTGACGGAGGGTGACTTTCGGAGGCAACGCGGGATCCATTCCTAGCTCTATATCGGAGGGACCGGGAGGGCTTTTGCACCGTCCGCTACCAATCCGCACGGCGTGGCGTTTCCCCGGTTGCATCCACTTTTCTTCTTCCAAGCCCGGAGCGGTGCATTGAGCCGAAGGGTGGCCCAGAAGACGGGGGCAGAGAGGGGGCTGTGGCTCTTGCCTCGCCTGCCCATAGGAGCCCTTCCCAGCCCTCTCCAATCCAGTCTATTTGCAAAAGTTGCGTAATGTGTGAATGTAATACGGGTTTATCAAACAAGTGTGTTTGTTGTACACTAAGTGTGAATTGTTTTCTTTAAGGTGAATAGCACAGGTATCAATAGTATGGATTCATCCCTGCCTATTGGTCTTATTCTTTCTGATGTCTACTTTTAGGAGAAAGAAACCTACAGTATGTCAAAAACCAACAAGCAGCCATCACTAGCCTTCGGTCAGGTAGTGATTGGGCCGCCCGGCTCCGGGAAAACCACCTATTGTCATGGCATGCAGGAATTCCTGTCTGCAATTGGGCGCAAGGTTGCTGTGGTGAATCTGGACCCAGCAAATGAAGGGATTCCGTTCCAGTGTGCTGTAGATATCTCTGAACTGATCACCTTGTCTGATGTGATGGAGAATTTGAAACTTGGCCCCAACGGTGGCTTAATCTACTGCATGGAGTACCTAGAGGCGAATTTTGACTGGCTACAAGAGAAACTGGACCAACTGAAAGGACATTACTTCTTATTTGATTGCCCTGGACAAGTGGAGCTCTGCACCCATCATAGTTCATTGAGAAACATCTTTGCTCAACTTGCTAAGTGGAATTTCAGGGTATGTTTGGTCCAGAGGAAGCGAGAGCATTTCTGAAGGCCAAACCTCAACGGGTCCCTGAAGGCCAAACCTCAACAGCTGCCCTTTCAATTCCCAGTGACAAATTGTGACAAATAGTGAAGCCACTGTAAAATATGATGCATTTTATGTGTGTAATGTTTGGTGGAAATTGCATGAGTTTGAAAAGAAGATGTATTCAACTAGACTTTAAAAATCCAGAGAACTGCTAGATGTCAACAAAGAGAGAAAACTTAAGGCAGATTTGCTAGCCTGTATTTAACAGTCAGTCTCTAGTGTACACCTGCAATGTTATGGATATGTCTAATTTAATGTGTTAATTCATGGTATCACCAGAGTCCAGGAATCTTGGGGTTCTACACCTCAGTTTCAAATTGAAAATCTTCCTTATGTTTTATTTACTTTCCACCTTACATCAAAATATTGTTAAAATACTACTAGAAACATCTATGGAGATTCTCAAGTCATCCAGGTCATAATTATCTCAAAGATGCTTTTGTCAAAAGGCAACTGGACTTTGTTTTTTCTTTGAAGACATTTCACGTCTCATCCAAGAAGCAAAACATCTTCAGAGAAAAAATAAAGTCCACTTACCTTGTGACAAAGGCATCTTTGAGATACTACTAGAAACTTAAATCTCTTTTAGAAGATGTAGTATAGAGTTTGTATATATGGTTCACTACATTGCTAAAACTCAGTGTGAACAGTATAAGGGGAGTGTTTTTAGTTCAGGGTCATCTGAAGCACTACAACTTTCTATTCCCATTCCTGACAGCCTCGTTTTTTTGTATATGTGACTGTCTGCATATATTAAATCAGGGTTTCTCAATCTTAGCAACTTTTAACGTGTGGACTTCAACTCCCAGAAATCCTCAGCCAGCATGCTAATTTCTCTACCCTTTTGTTTGTCCTTCATAGCTGGCTGCTGTTCATCTCGTAGATTCTCATTACTGCACAGATCCTGGCAAATTCATCTCCGTTCTCTGCACTTCCCTCGCCACAATGCTGCATGTGGAGCTGCCCCATATCAACATCCTCTCCAAAATGGACCTCATCCAGCAGTATGGGAAGTTAGGTGAGAGCAGGCGATCCTTGGGGAACCATGGGACTGATTAAAGACATTACTAAGGGCCCATTACACATCAGATCAGAAGATGTGTGTAATCCACCCTGGGTCAGCTGAGGGTAGCCATAGTTCACTTACAGTTGGGTGGTTGCTGGAGAAGTTTATCCAAGGTCTTGTCAGTCAGAAGACTTCATAGATAAATTACTACTCTAGTCTAAGTCAAATCTTTATAGCAGAAGTATACTTGTTTTTAAAGAATGGCTAACTATTCTCAGAGACTGCCTGGACAAGTCCCTGCAGTTTTCTTGGCAAGGTTTTTCAGAAGTGATTTGCTGTTGTCTCTTTCCTAGGGCTAAAAGAAAATTAATTGGCCCAAGATCATCTAGCTGGCTTTATACTCCCAGGTCAGGAACAAATCTGATGCCTTAACCACTACACCAAACTCTCGCTCCCTCTTTTAACTGAAACAGTTCCATAATTGGGGCATTTCATATTCCAGAAAAAAGATTTTGCTATCAAATTTCTGTCCAATATGTACGTATTATAAGAAATTACAGACTATCTTGTTCCTTAGTCTATGAATTGAAAAAAGTAAGGCTCTACATTTAGGCATGAAAAACCAAATGTATAGGTATAGTATAAGGGGTACCTTGCTCAATAGTAGTAACTGTGAGAGGGATCTCGGAGTCCTAGTGGACAATCCCTTAAATATAAGCCAGCAGTGTGCTGCAGCTGTCAAAAAAGCCAACACAGTGCTGGGCTGCATTAACAGAGGGATAGAATCAAGATCATGTAAAGTGTTAATACCACTTTATAACATCTTGGTAAGGCCATACATGGAATACTGTTTTGGTCACCACGATATAAAAAAAATGTTGAGACTCTAGAAAGAGTGCAGAGAAGAGCAACAAAGATGATTAAAGGACTGGAGGCTAAAACATATAAAGAATAGTTGCTGTAATTGGGTATGTCTAGTTTAATGAAAAGAAGGACTAGGGGTGACATGATAGCAGTCTTCCAATATCTCAGGGGCTGCCACAAAGAAGAGAGAGTCAAGCTATTCTCCAAAGCACCTGAAGGCAGGCAAGAAGCAATGGATGAAAACTAATCAAAGAGAGAAGCAACCTTGAAATAAGGAGAAATTTCCTGACAGAACAATTAATCAGTGGAACATCTTGCCTCCAGAAGCTGTGGGTGCTCCAACACAGTTTTTAAGAAGAGATTGGACAACCATTTGTCTGAAATGGTATAGGGTATCCTGCCTGAGCAGGGGGTTGGACTAGATGACCTCCAAGGTCTCTTCCAACTATTGTTGTTATCTGAAGATTTCTTTCCCCTTTCATTTGCTTTACAGCATTTAATCTAGATTATTACACAGAAGTTCTTGATCTGTCCTACTTAGTGGATCACTTGGCTTCAGATCCGTTCTTCAAGAACTACCAACGGCTGAACAAGAAGCTGGTGGGAGTGATTGAAGACTACAGTCTGGTCTCTTTTGTTCCTCTCAATGTCCAGGTAAGCAAGCCAAGGAGAGGAACAGATGAAGCCCATCAATTTCCTTCCACTATTTTTACCTACACTTGAGCTGCAAATGATTGTGCTTGAGACAGGTGTGACATACATTTGTTAGTGCAGAAGGAAACCAATGAGATTAAGAGGTAAAAAATAAACAAATGTAGATAACTAATTCTGAAACTGACCAGTTGTGAGGACAGTTCCTCACAACTGGTCAAAACAGAGCAGAAAAGGTCTGTGCCCAGTGGGTATGTATCTGACTAAATGCTGTTACGGAGCAGAATGTTTAAAGAATGGAGAATAGTTTGAGGTCAATAGAATGATAATATAAACTCCTGGGTGATTTTTTTTGTTTATTCCAGCATTTGGTAACTATACCCTCATGGCAGTGTGATTGCAATTTGTCCTTCCTAAAGAAAACTTTCCGATCTGAATGTAAGACAGCTCAGAGGATTCATTTTATTAAAACTGTTGCTGGGACTTGCCTGCCATTAATCAGGCTAACGAGAAACGGGATGAAATATGGCAGAGAAATCAGTTGGGGCGTGACGTGTTTCTAATGGTTCCTTGTTTCAGGACAAGGAAAGCATGCGGTGTGTGATGCAGGCAGTGGACAAAGCCAACGGTTATTGTTTTGGGGACTCTGAACACAGAAATCTCAACGTCTTGATGTCTGCAGCGATGGGAGCTGATTTTCATTTTACATCGTATCCTTTTTGCTCTCTCTCGCCTTCCTCTTTCTTGGAAGCTGTGGATTATACTTCTGTAGGAAATGCAGAGGTTTGGGGAATCCTACTTAAATCTTGTGATGTCATTTAAAGAGCATTTTAAACCAGTAGTAGCAATTATCTTGTGTGCTGCACCTAGCCCTGCCCCCTCAAATTGCCTGATTGCTTCTCATGCTTTTGCTCCATGTAACAAATGATTCTTTATCCCATCCACCATTTTGGGTAGTACACTGCAGTAGTTTTTTTTTATTGAAAAGTTTTATAAAAATTACAGTATACACCCCAAAGCCCACCCACCCTAAACCCCCTCTCCCTCCCCCACTTCCCAGAGCTGAGTACAGGGTTACAAATATAATAATCAAACTAACTAACATTAACCAATTATATAAATAACCAAGTTCATAATGCACTTTAATTCCCCTTTAACATAGGTATAAACTCTGAATATAATCTATCCATCTTCTCCAGTCCGAAATGTATCTTTCTTGTGAATGATCCTTCAAGTAAGCAGAAATTTTTGCCATTTCTGCTAAATTTGACACTTTAAGCGTTCATTCTTCTATAGTAGGCAAACAATCCTTCTTCCAATATTGCCCTACCAATAACCTTGCAGCTGTTATACTGCAGTAGTTGTTAATAGCCTGATTGTTAAGTGAATCTGGCTTCCCTACTGAGTTTGCTTGTCAAGTCACAGGACACTGTGGCAACCGTCGATCAATGTGAGTCAATTGCCAGGCATCTGAATTTTGGTCACATGAACCTGGAGATGCTGCAATGGTTGTGTGAAAAGCGGTCAAAAGTCACTTTTTTCAATGCCATTGTAACTTCGGATGGTCACTAAATGAATTGTTGTAAATCGAGGACTACTTGTACATGCAGATGTATGTCTGTCCTGGCAGTCAACAGATACAGACGGAGCAGCTTACCTTTCTTTAATGCCTTTGGGCTTCCTTTCTCCTTAACTCTCCCTCCATCAGCACCCTGGCAGTCCAGGAGAAGTATGTGCAGCCACAGGAGAAAACGGTGGAGCAGGAAACTTTAGACATGGAACATGCCAGTTACGGCAGCCACTGAAGGAGGGTGGATCAGCCTGCCCAAAATGGTCTCCCAGCAAGAACAGCAGGGGTGTGTGTGTGTGTGTGTGCGCGCGCACGCGCTCCCTCTGTGATACTCCCAGGCTTGGTGCAGGAGTGAGCAGGCCACCATCATTGGGTTCCTTTTAATTGTGTAGTGAGGACCCAGATGTTTCTGATAAGAAACTTGTATAGTTGGCAAGGCGATACGATTTGGCACCTGCTAGTTAAGAGATGACTATTCAGTGCTAACAAAGTTGTTGCCCTAGAACAGGGGTCTTCAAACTTGGCTCTTCTATGACTTGTGGATTTCAACTCCCAGCAATGTGTCTCCTTCAGAGCATTATCCTGCTTTATTTTGCTGAGAAGTGTTAAGAGTTCTCTCTGCTACCATTCCACAACTTGGTGCCTTCCAAATGCTTTGGGGAGCCTCTTGCCAATAATATGCCTTGGCCATCAGCTTGAAGGCCATTGTTGAGAAAAACGTCTCTGTCCTATCACAGATCACTTTCTTAAGAGTTTGGTGGCCTGTTCTCAACAAGGTCCTACCTTCTGGACGTTTTGAATTGTGATGCTGAGGGAAAACATGGAATCTGGATATTGTTGAGAAGAGAATCTTTTCAGGCTTTTTTGGTGCTGCCAAAGATTTTGGATTTTGGAGAGAGGAATGCTAAATAAAAAAGTTTTCGCACTTTCTTTTTCAAACTTTGGTGCATTTGTATGATATTTTATACAGACACAGGCTTGGAGCAGTGTGACTTCTCCCTCTGCAGCATATGGGGTAGAAGAGGAAAACAACATTTGCAGATGTTTTAAGACTACAATATAAAATATATAGCCAGACTGAATCAGACCAAAAACATCAAATACCCATGGTTATTGCCATGTCTTCGAAGTTAGTGGAAACCTGGAAGTCGACAGACTACTGGCAAAGTCAAGGCACTAACTTTCCAAGATAGTGCTGTGTTAAGGCCATACCAATAGTGAGTTAAAGTCCACACATCCAAGTGGCCAAGTTCAAAAAACATTCATTTAAGAAGTCCACATCGATATGGGTACAGTAATATCTTCCTGTAGTAGAGATTGAAGCTTTTACTCTGCTGGATTTGTATAATTAGTTTAAAACCTGAATTGGTGTCATTGTTAGATCCACTGCTTTTATGCACAGATATGAAGAAATACTTTTTTAATCCATCTCAAATCTTTCATTGCCATTGAACCTCCCTAGATTCTCATGTTGCAAGAAAAAGAAAATACTTTAATTTGAATGACTTTCTTCCCATGAAGCATAGTTTGTGTATCACCATGTCTCTCCTCTTGCCATTTATTTCTAAATAAAATAGCTCTAAAGGATTTGTAACTTTTCTTGGTAAGGCACTTAACATCTACTACAGTATGTCATTTTTTTTAAAGCTAACAATTTTTATTTAAGCACAAACTGGAAAATTATTCCACCTGTACACATATGAAGTGCCATCTAAGGAGATAGGTATGCTAATAGATGCAGAGAGGAAAATTTCAAATATCAAGATTAAATAGAGTTATAAAAGAAAAAATGTAATAGAAACATCGTGTCTTTTAATAATGAAGCAAGCATTCTATCATTGCAATGGAGATGCTTAAAGGATAGAACTTCATGTTGTAATTTGTACCAAATTGATAGAAGGAGAAACATCTTCTGGTGTTATGTCTTGTTTGTGCAACTTATGAAAATTGATGCACAGCTCTTGGCATTTTATTATGAAAGGGAAATTAAATTGCTTACATTCTAGATAATAACTCTGCAGATATTTTTATGGTGGGTTTTTTTTTAAAGATCCAAACCAGCTGTTGGTTCACTGAGTTCCTTAATAGAATTCTTCCCTCCTTGCTTCATTATCTCTGTTGAAAGATGTTCAAAGTAGCTGGTGAAGGTATCTAGAATCTCAGCCTTTGAGGTAGGGATCAGCACCGGTGACTGAGGGCCCCAATACCAGCTAAAGGTTATGGACCTCTAGTCCAAGTCAATGGCCTATCGGGAAGATACACCATTTGGAAGATGAATGGATAATCACTAGGAAGAAACCTCTTTGGCTGGCAAGAAATAGCAAAACATTTCAGTAAGGATAGAAATGTCTCAGTGATGAGATATATTTACCAGCTCAGCAATGCAAGGTGCATTTTATGACAAAGAGATGACAAAGATTTTTTTATATTTGCTCACGAGCAAAGGAAGATGCTCCATAAGGATAACTGATGTTTTTTCCTAGCGTTTACTTGCACACAGTGCATTTCTCCATGTTGAAAGGTATGGAGACCAAGCAGGAAAACAGATGAAATCAGATAAATCTATGATGAAATGCAATAAACTTATAGGCAATCATGACCGAGTTACACCTAGGTCAGGGGTAGGCAACCTTGGCTCTTTTATAACTCATGGACTTCAACTCCCAGAATTCCTGAGCCAGCCATAGTCCACGAGTCATAAAAGAGCCAAGGTTGCCTACCCCTGACCTAAGTCTTAGATTTACAGGATAGCATTCCTCTGGTAAGAAATTTGCTCCTGCAGGTGTCCATCAAAAATAGCAAGAATATTCTAGCATATTCAACAACCTTTCTCAAATCTGGTTATGCCCAGACTTTAATGCCTAGACCAGTGGTTCTCAACCTTTTTAATGCCGCGACCCCCAACCGGTCATAAGTCGAGGACTAAACGGTCGTAAGTCGAGGACTAAACTGGTTGTAAGTCAAGGACTTTCCCTGCCCGGGAGCGCCACGCATGCGTGGTGCCGCCCCCTGCGCCTGCCGAGGCGTAGCTGGCAAATAGCAGAGACGGAGCAGGCCGACCACTGGCTGGGCCACCAGCTGGCCCAGCCCAAGGGAGGTAAGGCACCCGCCGGAAAATGGCGGACAGCCTTCCTTGGCGACCCCCGTGAAATGGCCGATCAACCCCAAATGGGGTCCCCACCCACAGGTTGAGAACCGCTGGCCTAGACAACCCCTGAGTGTACTAGGTTGGGAAGACTGGAGAATAACTTATATATGTGGAAGAAAAAAGTTTTGTGTTTCAATGCAAAGAATGTGGGATGAATATTACTGAGCAAAGAAATAGATAAAATTATAATATGTTCTTTTGACACTAGGTCAATCCTAGTGTCCTTGCTTTGTGCTGCTAAAGAACATGGCTGTGATCCACTAAAATATTTGCTTTGCATTCTAACTTGAATAGTTTAGACGTTTTCTGCTCTGTGTCTGCTATGCTTCGGGGAGATGTACAAAGAATCTGGGGCTGCAGAGAGGACTCAGGATGATGGCTAAAATTGGCCATCAGGCAGGAGAAAGTAGACCCGATCGTTTTTTCCAGTTGCCACCATGAGGTGCTGCTGATACATCAGCAGGATAACCAAAAACAGTTTTTCTGCAGTATAGGTTCCCGTTAAGAGCTATTCCATTGGGCCCACAAGGGGTTGCTCTTAATGCAAGAAATAGGCAAGATGTTACTGGGTGTATTTTCTTTGACTGTGGACAAAGATGGCCTTAAGCTTGTTCCCACAGTCTCAGTGTTATTGGGAGTTATCCTGAATAGGGAGAGAGAGAGAAAAAGGGAGATCTATAGACTGCTTACAAATTGCTTTTTAAAAACCTGAATTGCCTATTGCAGTGATGGCGAACCTTTTAGAGACCGAGTGCCCAAACCGCAACCCAAAATCCACTTATGCATCGTCGGGTGCCGGGTGGGTGAGGCCCATTAGCTGGGCGTGGCCCATTGGCTGGGCGTGGGTACAGTGGTAACAGCAGACTGGGTGGGACTAAAAAGTTCAATCAAACAATTCCAACTTTGCAAGATCTTTTTTTTTCCCGCGAGAAGTTGAATTGACTGATTGATTGAACCTTTTTTTTTTTTACACATGGCGGCAGAAGCCTAAAGTGAAAAGGTTTTATAAAACCCAGCTGAAGGCCTAGGACTGGGGCGATGGCGCGTGTGCCCACAGAGAGGGCTCTAAGTGCCGCCTTTGGCACCCGTGCCATAGGTTCGCCACCACTGGCCTATTGGAATCAAAGTAAGAAGAAGTTGTCTCAGTGAGGGATTTTGCTTTTCTCAGCACTACCCAGAATTGATGTACTGAGTCTACAGCTGAACTGATCCTCTGGCAGGCCTGCTATGATATCTTGCAGTTTCTTAGACCAGGGGTCTTCAAACTTGGCCCTTTTATGACGTGGACTTCAACTCCCAGAATTCCTCAGCTAGGCACACTGGCTGAGGCATTCTGGGAGTTGAAGTCCACAAGTCATAAAAGTGTCAAGTTTGAAGACCCCTGCCTTAGACAGTGTGCTTATCCCAAAGCCAAAGTGTTCCTTTAAGCCAGTGGTTCTCAACCTTTTTAATGCCGCGACCCCCAACCTGTCGTAAGTCGAGGACTACTCAACCGGTCGTAAGTCGAGGACTACTCAACTGGTGCAGCACCGTTTGCAGAATGGGACTTTTGGCAGGCTCAGCAGGGCAGAGACAGCCTGGACAATGCCTATTGGCTTTTGAAAGCCAATAGAATTAGACTCTATTCAAGAGAGTCTATTCTATTGGCTTTCAAAAGCCAATAGAATGAAAGGGAGTAGCACAGCTAAGGAAAAGGGGGAAAAAATGGCGGACTGCGTTGTTTGGCGACCCCCGTGAAATGGTCGTTTGACCCCAAATGGGGTCCCAACCCACAGGTTGAGAACCACTGCTTTAAGACAATCTAGGTTACTGGCATGATTGTAAAAGTCTACATAAATAGGTCATACTTAGCTGTGAATAGCTACTTGAATTCCTGAGACACCATTAGCACAGAGATGGTCCCTAATCCTGGAGGATTAGATGCTACCTAGAAGGGACAAGAGAGTCAGTCTTTCAGCTCACCTTTCCCGTCCAGGCTCCTGAAAATGCCTCTGCCACTTCCATTGGTGAGCTTTACACCTTTCTCTCAGGTGACACATCTGTTTCCTTGCAAAGCACCTGGCTGGCCAGTAGGCAGGCCCATCTCACAGCTGCAGCTCTGCCAACCTCAGCAATTTCAGTGCAGCTTCAGCAATGAGGTGGGGCAGGGCTGAGCCCTAGTAGGCCTGAGGCTCTGGGCTGCCTCTTTCTTTTTTTCACACCCATCATGCTCTGTTGCAGCCTGCAGGGCAGACACTGGGTTCAGTTGCAGCTGGGGTGGGCAAGGCACTAGCAGGCAGAGTCAAGGCACATTCCACCCAAGAGCAAAGAGGAGGTATGCCTTAGGTGGGTGAAAAGAATTTAACTATTTCTCAAGGCAGACATTTCCTGGGTCATCTCGAGGGAAGCGTGCCATGACTCTGGGGCTATGGAGAGTGGAGGAAATCCCCGTCTTTCTCCCTTGCTAGCCAACCTGCAGATAACAAAAGGATACTTAATATGGAAGATTTGGATATGGACCATTTGGGTGCACGGAACAGGTTTCTAAGATCCAACACCCAGAAACAGATTAATTGTAATGCTTATCTTGGCACTGGAAGCTCTTAATCTCTCACAGTTCCACCCTTTTAGAGGTTCCTCCCTAGCTTCCCTTTTTATGCTATTCCTTCTTTATCTTTTAGCAAGAGCAAGGCCATCCATGGCTAATCAGGAAGCCTATCACTGCACAAAGGACTACTCGTTCAATGCCTTTTGATGCCTCTCATCTCTTTAACATGTCACGATTAGTCATGTGTTTTGCATGACGTGTAATTAGTAGCTCTGGGGTGAGAAAGTGTTGAGTTCCACAACTATTATCATATGAAAGCGCCGAGAAACAATTCCAAATAAGGCTACCTAATTGTGCTCTGACTTGCAAATTGCAAGGAAAATGACTATTGCCTTAAGAAACTCTCCAGAAATATTAGCTTTGACCGGCCTGGTGGGATCTGCCGGTTAACCTCCATTAGGTGGATCAGAAAAACACCTGGAATGTTTTGGGAATGGGATATGGGTGTTGGTGAAGTTTTCAAAGGCACCCATGGCTGTTACCCTGATGGGAAGTTTCTCAGACAAGGTGGAGCTCCACCATCCAGACACACCTGCTCTCATCTTCTCTTCCCCAGCCCTCCTTCTCCACCCAGTCACAAACAGCTGTGTTAGCAAAGCTGCAGCTGCTTGGTGGTTCGTGGGACAAGAGTCCCCCTGTTCCTCCACCCTGCCCAAACTGCTGAGTAATGGCTTTTCCTGCAAGACCAAGTCCCCCTCCAGTCCTCTCAAAAAAGAAGCAGAGAAGCTCTCTTTGAGCTTCTGGACTGGCAACCTTGATGTCAGAATCCAATTATATTTCATCTCTAGTTATCGACTATGGAAAACCCCATTTCTGCCCTCTCTGGATTCTGTCATACGGGGGTGAACAAAG